GGGAATGCTGCACAGGTGAGCTGGTCCAGAGGCAAGGGCTGGGCTGGGCTGCCTGCCTCAGCCTGGGCAAGAGCAGCGACAAAACACAAGCCCACCAGAGTGCATCCCAGAGTCTGCTTCTTGTGCTGGCAAGGCAAGAACAAGTGGTGCTGTTTCTGTGCCTCGTGCCTTAAGCACAGCTGGGAGTATTGCTGAGATGATCTGCTTTCAGTCCAGGCTGTGATGGGAGCTGGGCTGTCTGTTCTGCAGTGTGGGAATTGCCTTTTCCAGCTGCCAGTCTCAAAGTCAAGCTTTCTGAGCACAAATAAAATGGGATATTGCACACACACACAACCCTTTTCAACTGTTACTGATATTTAGCAGAGGGAATATTCAAAACATTATTCCCTCCAACACAGAATGGCTGCTGGGTGTTGCCAGACCATGTGAAATGACAGCTGAGTGGAATTTTATCAGCAACAAACAAGAAACAAATGAAGAAGGGAGAATTAAAAAAAATTCTTTTTTTTTTTTTTCTTATCTATACTATGATTTGATATGTATATATATATACATGGATTTTTACATTACTGTTGGGATGTGAAGAAACAAAGAAAAAGAGCAGACAACGTAATGTTACTTGTTACAGAAGGGAATGTTATGGTGTCAAGCACCAGTTAGGGACATGTTGGGGAGCAGGAGGGCCGTACTTTACACATATTACTGAGGTCAGCACAAATTCTCCACTACTTTAATTAAGAGGGGATCAAAAAGTTTGATGGGATCTGGAAATACAAGGAGGTTAAAACGTGGCAGGTATGGGCAACCTCATGTACACAGACCTCTGCCTCAGAAAGCAGGATGTTCTTGCAAATCTGACATAATCCAATTCCTTGATTTCCTCAGTGACATTTCTGCAGGCTCATGCACAGAAGGACAGGGAAATGGAGATTTATGACAGCTATTTCTTAGCAAAGGTCATTTTTCAATTGGTGAACAACCTGTCCTTAGTCACGCCGATGACGAGGCATTGAAGGATAAGGGAGAGGCTGGAGAGCTTTAAAGCCTGACAGGGAATAATAGAAATAGAGGATAGATCATCCCTCTACTTGGGCCAGGAAGTTTGAATTCTTCCACCATCAGTTAAAGCCAGGGAACAGGAGGCAAAATCCAGAAAAAAAAATACACAGGGATTTCTGTGGAGATTGTGAGTGGAGATTTCTGTGGAGATTGTGAGTCTGAGTGTCGAGACAGCAAGGGGAAAAGAGGAGCCACAGAGCACGAGCTCTTGGATAGTAAGGGTGTCCTTGGTGATTATAAGGAACAGGGTCAGGTTGCTCTGGGGCTTCCCTGGCCAGCCCCACCAACCTCCCAGCTTGAGCAGCTCTCAGCATCCTGTGCCGTGCCACTTCCAGACAACACAGATGATACACAAACAACACAAATACACACAAGTACACACAAATACACTTCCTCAGCTGTCCCTCCACAGGCAAGGAAGGCAGCAGATGTGACACACGTATGGTTTAAGTAGATTGTGTCATACACGTTAAATAATAAAACAGTACCTACCTATTCTTCACATGACTATTCTTCCTGCTTGCAGAAGAGATTTGACACTCTACATAAAGTAAAGCACCATTTTTTTTTGTAATCAGAAGGACCCTTCTGGGAGTCACACAAGAGTTTTTCACTCAGCTACTGACATTAAAAGACAGCATTGGGTACCTTGGTGTAACCAGCTTGTTTTCAATCTCATAATATTGGATTAAGTAAAAATGTGACCATTTGCCCAAAGCTTGGCTCAGATCCTGAGCTGACCAAGTTTGAGCTGGGCCATTGTCACAAATCGGGCTTGTGGCCAGCAGGACCAGTCAAGAGATGTTTGCAATTTGGAAATGAAGTCAACACAGGGGTCCTTGCTGACCCATCTGAATACTCTGACCCAAGGAGGAGCTTTGGGGCTCCTCATCCCTGTCCTTGCTAATCCCTTTTTGCCATTTATTGGCTCCTCTGGGCTCTGAGCTGCCAGCAGAAGTCACAAGAGCTTTTGACTTGGTCTGGTGTAGGACTCAGTCAGTAACCTGAGAATACTGTGGTGGCCTCTAGCTTCCAATCTGCAGCTGAAGATCTCACCCTTCCTCCCACAGTAATTCCTCTCACCCTCTGAAACCTCCCAAGCTTTCCCCAAAATCACAAGAACTGAGGATGGCTGCTCTTAAAAGCTGTAAACCAGATAATCTGTAGGATAATTGCCTGTGTTGTATTTCTCCCCACACAACAAAGGCAAAAGCAGCCTTACACTGTGTACCTCCCAGCCTGGTGTAACTTGAACCCAAAAGCTATGAAGGAAATGGAAAATGTTAATAAATAATGATGTTTGAAACACAAGTCACTGGATAAACCACCAGACCTTCTGTGTTTATTCCACTGGACAGAAAATGTCTATCTCCGTTGGAAGAAAGTCTTGGTCACAGGGATGTCTTAGGAATTAGCCTGGGTGCTGCAGGTTATTCAGGAGATAAATCAGAGGAGTTCACGGGTTAACTTTTGGTAATATAATACTAAGACAACTTCTGAAATACAATCAGCACAACTGATTACTTGATGTTTTTCTGGTATGAAGAACCAAGGATCTCTTCAGGGCCACTGCAATTTTAAATTGCCTTGCTTGATCCACTTCACAGCTGCCAGTTTTCCATCTGGTATTTTCCAAGTCAGAACCAATTATTTGTGGGCTCCATACTGCATGTTCTCAGTCTGATGTGCTCTGGAAATCCTGGCCTCATTTCCCAAATCCTAAGCAGGTGATATGCACTTAAAAAGCCCAGTGACGCCTCCCTCAAGTGTGTTGGAATTACTGTGTGTGTAGACCAGCTGCAAAACTGGGACAGATGTGTTAAGACAAATGTACAAAATATTCAAGTCTTTTTGCTTAACTTCAAAAATATTCAGGGGAAATAAAAAAAGATTTTCCAAGAAAATCTGTATGAGTAGTACAACTGTCTGCAACATTTAAGTGTAACACTTTAAAAAAAGGAGAATCACTGCCTCTTCCAGGACAGCTCCAAGTGCACACCCTCTGGCAGCTGGGGTAAGGGCTGAAGAGTAACACATTGTAAGCAAAGGGCTGACCTTTCCAATAGCCCAAATATTCAACCTCTCTGAAGTAACTTAGCTCAGCTCAGGCCTGTGGCCATCCACACAGTCATTCTTTCTCTTCTTTCACTCCAGCCACTGAATGCTGGCAGGCTCTGCAATATGCCAGGAGAGTGAGAGGCAGCTTAGGGGAAAGGAGGAAAACACTGGGATAAGGAGCCTCCCAGACTGTGGATCAGGCTTGGACTCCATTCGGTTTGTCATGGGAAAGAAGAGAGGACTGCAAAGCCCCGAGGCTTCAATTTTCCAGCTGCTCTCAGAGCTGCACTGCATTATCTTCCGTATTTCCCTGTGCTTCCATTGATAGCTGGCTTAGTTTCTGACTCGGATGGCTGACAGGTTTAGGATCAGCTCCCAGAGATCACACAACCACACTAGCCTGACTCTGGAATTCACTACGGCCAATGGCGCTTTGGAACCCAAACTCAAACACACCTGCACAGGTGTCCAGAGGGCACGAGGGCAACATGGGCAAGCGGCTGGTTAATTTTAGATGAATGCTGGAACCCAGCAGCGAGGGTGTGCATCTGGGTCCCGACGCCTTCACAGCACAGCAGCGTTCTGCCAGCGCGGCTACGGGAATTCCCAGCCGCACGCCAGCAGATCAGCGCTCTCCCTGGCAGACATTTAACACCGAACTGCGCACAGCTCCAGCCCCCGCCGGGGAGCCGCTCCCTGGCACGCAGGTTAAATCAGCCAAGCTACAGCGTCCTGCCCGCGGTATTTAACTCCCAGCAGCTCCTCGGCCGCACCCGCACGCCGCAGCCCCTCAGGACCGCGGCCTGCGCTGCAGGACTGCGCGCGGGCCTGGCGCGGGGACCGGCCCTCGCCGCGGTGCCTCCTCCCTGCCGCCGCCTCCATCCGCGGCCGCTCGCTCCCGCCTCACGGGAGGCATCGCGGCTTTCCTCCCGGCTCCTCCCGGCTCCCTCCGGCCCGGGGCCCGGCGGGTCCCGCCCCTGGCACCGCGCTCCTCGCGCCGCGCCCACCCCGCGGCTCGGGGAAGCGGCGCCGCCGATCGCCGCGCGCTGACAGACAGCCGCGCCGGCCAATCGCGTGGCCGCTCCTCGGGAGGATCCCGCCCCCCCGGGCTCTATGGCCAATCAGAGCAGGGCTCTGAGGGCGGGGGGGGGGAGAACTGCGAAGCCCTCTCCTCTCACCTCCCCCCTGCGCTGCGCGAGGTGATTGACAGGCGCGACATCCAATGGACTGCGAAGGGCCCGCGGCGGGGCCAATGACGCGCGGGGGCGGGCCCGCGGCGGGCGGCGGGGGCGCGGCGGGCCGGGCGCGGCGCGGCGCCGGCAGGAGGGCGATGGTGGCGGCGTGAGGCGCCGCGAGCCGCGCGGTGTGCCCGGCCGGCGCCGAGAGCGGCGGGAGAGCGGCGCTCGCCATGAGGCTGCGGGAGGACGGGGACAGCCGCAGGGCGCTGCCGGCGGCGGGGCTGCCGCGGTAATGGGCAGCGGCGGCGCTGACTCGCCTGCCGTGTGGTGCCAGCGCGCCCGCCCGGCGGGACCGCCCGGAGGAGCCGGCGGCAGGTGAGTGCCTCACGGGAGCCGCCCGCCGCTGCCGCCGGTGCCGTTCGCGTGGTGAAGGGCTCCCGGCCGGGGCGGGGGGCGCTGCCCGGCGGGCTGGCCGCGGCTGCCGAGGCGGAGCGCGGCGCTCCTCGCCCGGGGCTGCGCGGGGACCTCCCTCCTCTCCCGGGGCCACTCCGCCTCAGGTGGCCTCCTCGCCCGCTCTGGTGCCATCCTGCCCTGACTTCTCGCCAGCTGCGGCCAGCCTGTGCCTCCCTATATTCCTCATGAAGAGGCTTTTTTCCCTCCGCACCCAGCGCAGATGCTGCTTTCCTTCCGAGAGAGGAGACCCACCTGTGCTTCTCCTCTCCCTTTTCACTTCCCTGATGATCGCTCCTCAGTGCTCCTCAGTGCAGGATGGAGAGACATTTCCATTTCAATATGATGCGGCGAGGAAGATGGGGAATCCTGGGTAGCCAGGACTCGGGAAATGCCCCTTCCTCTCCCGTCCTCCTCCTCACCCTGGCACAGGCGTTGGGGCAGCAACACTCCCTTGCTGTCTTCGTGGCTGATCCTCCTCTTTGGACAGAGGAATGAAAGCGGGAGCTGTGCTAGAGGAAACAACTGTTACACCTTTTGTCATCAAGACAAAGAACTTCATCTCCCCGTGTCCCTCCCTCCGGGTGCATGTTGGCAGCACCTCAGCCACTTCGCGCTGCTTCCCGGAGATGCTTCGCAAGGATTCGCTGTGGCCCTGAGCTGCCCTTTTTTGTTGCAGTTGCCAATTATGATGTCGCTGATAATAGGATATGTTGATATGTTTCCGAACAGCCTCGTGGTTTGAATTCCTGAAATTGCTGCAGTGTTTTTATTTATTTATTTAATTGGGGTTGGGGGGGCGGAGGTGTGGATGACAACAGGAAAGGGCTGTGTTTTTGTGGTTGCTTGTAGTTCTTTGAAAGGTACGAGATCACGTGCAATTGCAGCACTTAGTAAGAAGTGTATTAACCAATGCTATCTCTCCCTGTCTTATTTGTCTTCCAGTCCTGCAGTCTTCCCTTCATCTGCTGTGTGAAGAATGAAGATTCCATGAGAGAACTGCCTTTCCATTACCTGTCTACTCCTACTGCACGCTGCTTCTGGCCAGTGATGAGCCATTCCACTGGACTGGGATTTACCCTGAGGAGGGCAGAGGCAGAATATGAATTGTAGACATCCCGTCAAGTTTCTCCCACACTCTTTTTACTGTGTCTGTATATAAATCTGCTACTATCAAGCACACACGCTCTTTGAAAGCTCCATTGCTGTTCACGCATTTCCTGCTGTGTGAGAGGACTGGTATTTCTCACCATCATGGCTTCAGTTTGGAAGAGACTGCAGCGTGTTGGGAAACATGCATCCAAGTTCCAGTTTGTGGCCTCTTACCAGGAACTGATGGTTGAGTGCACCAAAAAATGGTAAGAAACAGCTCGTGTTGCTGTAAAAAATAATGGACTAAGTTGTTGGTGCTGAAATAGGAAGGATGTGTATTGTGTGGTAGGGGCATTGCTCTTGCATCCCCTTACTTCTCTTGCCAGCCCATTGCAGAAGCAGCTGCATGAGCTGCTTGTCTTTCTCAGTGGGTGCTGGCTTTGCTGCATGGTTACCCTGGACCTGCTGGCTTTGTTCTGTACTATTGATTTTCCAGGCTGGCATTGCTTTTACCTTGCAGAGGCGGGTACGCGTGTTAGCTGGCATCTGTGACTTTGTGTGGTTTTGGTTGTCAGTTTTGGGTTTTTAGTGGGTTTTTTTTGGTTTTTTTTTTTTTTTAATGTTTCCCATGAGCTCTTTTCCATCTGCCAATCCAGTTTGGTGATGCTGAGGGCTATCTGCTGACACTTGAGTTGTTTGATGGGGCATCAGAGATCAGTCCTGGATATGGTGGTCATGGGACATGTGGGTTTGGATGCTCATTTTGATTTTTGACTTCCTTACCCGAGGAGGTAGTCTTTTTCCTTCTTTTCCATTTCTCCTTTCTATCTTTTAACAGGAAGGGGCAAGAGGCAGGTCCTAGGGAATTGCCTTAAGGTGTTTGTTTAGTCAGAGAGGAATTTTGTTCAATGGTAGTCCAGTTGGATGGCTTTGGAGCTGACTAGACAGCAGTTAATGGTGTGGGTCTGGCACATCATCTTTCTGTGCAAAATGAGCTTAAATAAATCTTCTAGGCAAGACTAGAAGCAGCTTTTAAATAGTCAGAGGAAGATCTCCATTATATAAATACTTAACTGCTGTTTTATATGTTTGGAATATTGATATTACTGACATAATTCCTCACATTAATGTGAGCATGTAGTGTCAGGGGATGAAGAAAATACTTTCCAGACCTCGTGGACTGAGATGTTCAAATTGCCTTGTAATAAACTACAGTCTCCTTTCTAATACTTGGCCTTCCTTCTTGTTGGCAAGTTTGGCACATGCACTGGCCGCTTTCACTGGATATGAGTAATTGCCTCTACAAATTTAAATTCTATTTCTTGGAGCAGGAAATCTCTGTCAAATATGCTGGAAGGCTGCACACTGCTCTGCCTTAAAGGAGCACTGTCAGGTAAAATGTTTTGGATTTTTTTAGCAAGTTGTCTTCCTGCCTAGGATGTTTAAAAACCAGAATTTTTCTAGAAGTTGAACTTGCTTTAGCAGAGTAAATTTACAAATGAAAGCATTGTAGAAGTTGAAAGAAGCTGTCCTGCTTATTTTATGGGATCTGCTGTCCCAAAGAGGCCAAGGAGTTTTCCACAGTAATTTTGGTTGATCAGTTTTTTTTCAGTAGTTGCATTTATTACTTATTATGTTCTGTTTGCATTAACGAGGCTGTTTGAGGTTTCATTTTCATTTTGATTCACTCGTTGCTGAGAATTTGCAGGATGCTTCAGCACTAAAGTATAAATCCTGCAGGGGAATGTTTGCATTGGAATTGCAGCTAACCTTTCCTTGGTTTAAGAAAAAGTCATACACAAAAGTTCTCTAATTATTTTAGAAACAGGCAGCTTATTGGTTAATCATAACTGAGAGTGCCCACCTAGCAGAATGTCTGTGTATGAAGAAGTCAGAGAGCCATTCCAAACCTCAGACATGTAACTATATTTTTGCAAAAAGGTTATCCTTCTGAACATTCATTCTACATTCTTGGGTTTAAATATAGACAAGATCAGTGTTTGTATTGGTTATTACAAAGGACCAGTATGGTGGTGAAATATGGATGAATTCTAGGAAAAATCACAATAGGGAAAAACATAACTTATAAAGTCCTTTGACTGTAAGCTTTTTGATTCTGCTTCCTGTTATTTTGAAAACCTTAACAAAAATGTTCATTAAGCATGCAACCTAAAATACTTCTGCTGTAAATCGAACTTCTGTAGAAATGGAGGCTTAAATATGAATGTATTTTGAGAGCCTTCAACGAAATGCTTCCCTGACTTTGGAGAAGATGCAGTTTCTGTGCATGCCCGAAGAACCACTGCTTCATCTGTTTCTAAGTCTTGCCTCTGAGTTTGGCCCATGTGAGAACAAAACACAAGAAATGAGCTCCATATGCTGTTCTTGCTGAAAGCACTCAATATATATTAAGTGTCAGTGCTGTAGTCTGTAGTTTGCTTGATTGAAATGTAGTAAGCAGTAAGTTATTTTAATGTACTGGCATTTTAACAATGCAGTGTTTCTGGAGGAAAAGAATGCTCCATTCATATTTTAAAGTAAATGACAACACAGTCATAAACACACTGGAACTGAGAAGTGTCTGTGAGCAAGGATTGTGCATGACCAAAACAGGCTGTGTGCCTTTTTGTGAGCTGCTGTCTTCTGTTAGGTTTCCATTTGTCTGACTCTTCAGAAAGAGACTTGTGTGTTAGAATGTTTTTGTCCTGATTGTGGATGGTGTGCAAGGTTGGGTGAATTTCTGCTTGGCTTTAGTCGGTTTCCTCTGGACTTGTATTGATTTGAGTTATTTTGTTGTTGTTTTTGTTTGGTTTTTTTTTCTTTTGTTTACTTAGTGTTTAAAATAGTTCCTGCTCTTTTTTTTTCCTGGCATTCTCCTGGTACTGTGAGAAGTTGCCACTGCTGTGGTGTTGCTACTTCACTTTTTTTTAAGGATTTATATTATCTCTAGGTACAGATTGGGCTGAAACCTTTCCTTGCTTTTTCTCCTGTATAATTTCCTATACTTGTCCCTATTAATGGTTACAGACAGCCACTCACAAATGATTGCTTTTCCTTGGTGGTGTGTTTGGGGGAGATAGGTCGTGATGGAGTGTCCAGTGTTGTCACTGTTCCTTATTTTTCAGATAATTAACAGGACTGAGTCACTTCTGTGGCATTTTGGCAGCTCCCACTGACCCAGACCTAATTATTGTGGCTGCTCAGTACCTTTGAAAAATTGAGCAGTTGGTTTATTTAGACCCTTTCATTAAAAATAAATAAATAAACAGATGTAGTCATGGTCTTTAATATGGATTAGTGACTCCTACTACTGCAAAAACATCGTACTTTGCATTAATCATATAAGCAGTTGATTCTTTTGAAAGGTGCTTGCTTGAAAGTGCTGGAGTGTGTCATCCTCCATTTACCCTTGGACTAAGCTGGGGCAGCTCAGGATTTTCCACACAGCTCCCCAGTGAACTGCAGCCCTGGCCTGAAAGGCCCACATGTGATAGCAGGGAGTTAATTCAGTGCAGAGTCATTGAACAAAACCAGAAATCTGTCTCACTCGTTTGCTCAGGCTCCTACAGAAACAGCTGTATTCCCTGCTCTGTGCTGTCAGGGCAGAGGCTTGCTGGGCATCCCTGGCAGCTGGAATGCTGTGACTTGTGCAGGGAACCCAGACCAGGTGCCTGAAGGTCGGTGTCAGGCCCTGGCTGAGGTGCCTTTGGGTTTGCTGCCAGTCTGGAGCAGGCCAGGTCTCCTGTTGATCCTGGCTCAAGCTGCCAGCCCAGCATGAATCTCTTGTGCACCCTGGGGCTGCCCAGCTGCTGGAGGCCTCTGCTCTGGCAGCTGAGTCGAGGCTTGTCTGAGATCCAGGCTCAGCAGAGGAGGAAACGTCTCCTTTGGACCAGAGATCAGTTCCAGTACTTGACCTGAAGCTCTGATAGCAGTTTTATAGAGCTGCTGAACACATGAGCTCTTTAGGGTGGCTTTTCTGTTTCCTTATTGTTGTGATATCTCACAAGCCAAAACTCAACAGAGGCTTCAAGTGTAATATTGACTGGTTTCCACAGAGAATGGCTGAACTTGGAGAATTCAGGTTGCCAATTTCCTAACTTGTCATTGTTCACTGGATGCTTTGATGAGCAAGAAAGCTGCTCACCTGAACACAGGTGCTAACTGCTTACAAAGGCTGGAAAAGAGTAAACATAGAGGCTTATATACAGGATTTGTGTTCAGGAGTTGCTTTAGAGATAAAGAAATG